TTTTCAAACTAGAGGAATAATGTGCAAAAGCAAGATGGAAAGTCTGCATGTAATATAGTAATAATTGATCACACAAGCATTGATTTTACTTGACTATAATAGGCAGCCTTTGTCTGTAATTATTAACTCAATTTTTTCCTAGAGCTGATTATGCCTAAATATACTGTATTCCAAAACCCAAATCAAACCTGAGAGGTCAGCAGCAAGGGGATGATAAGGGCATCCTTTATTCCTTCTATCAAGAGCAACCTTGTTAAACAGGAAAATGTGATGCTAATTTTGGCAGAACTGATTGTACTAAATTAAGGGAATACTGCATGGTCTGGAAAAAAGAGAGTAATGGATTAGGTGACATGGAAACTAGGAGTTTGAGGATATCAGGTATCAGATGTGCTAGAAATGAGGGACTAGTCATGTCTCGAACAAATCCAACTGAATCAACCTAGTACTGCAGAATATGACAGTAGCAAAGGTAAGAGGATAAAAACAATACAGGCATTCCTCGACCTATCACTACAATTGGGTACAGAATTTCTCTTGGCTAAGTACACCCTATTTTATGACCTTTTCTGCCATGATTGTTAAGTTAAAAAACTGCAGTTAGTGAATCATGTGGTCTTTAAGCAAATCTGGCTTCCTCCACTGACTTTGCTTGACAGAAACTGGCTGGGAATGTTGCAAACACATGACCCCAGGATAGAAATAGCACTTCAACTTATATAATGCTTCACAGTGCTTGTACAGCCCTCTCTAAGCAGTTTACAGAGTCAGCCTGTTGCCCCCAACAATCTGGGTCCTCATTTTACCCACCTCGGAAGGATGGAAGGATGTGGCAGGTGTCATAAATACATGCCAGTTAATCAGGTGACTGTGGGAGTGTTGTGATAGTCGTAAGTGCAAGGACCAGTCACAAGTCACTTTCTTTAGTGCCTCTGTAAGTTCAAATGGTGATTAAGTGAATTTGTGTACAATAAGCCAAGGACTATCTGTGTTCATGATTGAAATGATCAAAGGCCTGGAGAGTAAACCAGATGAAGAACGCTGCAGGTTTTGGGTTTGGCTAGTCTAAAGAAAAGAAGAATTAGGGGTGACATGATAGCAGTATTCCAGTATCTGAGGGGCTGCCACAAAGAAGAGGGGGTCAAATTATTCTCCAAAGCACCAGAGGGCAGGACAATGGATGGAAACTAATCAAGGAGAGAAGCAACCTGGAATTAAGGAGAAACTTCCAAACAGTGAGGACAATGAACCACTGGAACAGCTTGCCTTCAGAAGTTGTGGATGCTTCATCACTGGAGGATTTTAAGAAGAGACTGGACAGTCACTTCTCTGAAATGGCATAGGTTCTCCTGATTGAGCAGGGAGCCGGAATAGAAGATGCCCAAAGTCCCTTCAAGCTCTATTCTAGTGTTCTAGTGTCAGTTATGACCCAAAGCCTTTTCTGAATAGTACATGGAGATGTATCCCATGGATGCATCTTGACACTTTTCTTAAGAATCACATACCTGAATGACAGTCTCTCTGATCCTGCATCTGGCTTCCCACAATGGGGAGCCAGATACACTTCAGAAGTACATCAAAAAAACCATACATAAAAGCAGTTATTGTTATTTGCTTGCTCATGATCTGAGCAACTGGTATTCACTACAACAAGCATGTTCAATATTATATTGAGTCACAAATGACCAATCCTGATTAATAAACTTTTCTTTTATAGATTTCGCATAATATCCCTGCAAGGATGACAAGTTTCATTTCATTTCATGGGAACAAACTCCTTAATTTAGCAAAGTATTGAGTGAACAATTTGCTTCTGTTTGTTCTGGATTTCCCACCACTCTTCATCATAGAAAGGTCCTCAGTTCAATTATCATAAAATAATAGATTATCAGTAATTTGTATTGTCAAGGAATGAACTATATACAATGCTATAGTATATATATTTAATTTAAATGGAAACTTAAGAAGCCAGAGCCAAGAAATACAAGCCATCTATCATAATTTCTATAACAGCCATTCTGGACCAAAACAAACACTAAGAACTATAAAAAAAATACAAAGATAATCAAGGTGAGATTCCCCTTTCCCCAAAACTCAGCATTTATATCCTCTTTTGAAATTATGGACATTTCCCAATTGATATCAGTCCCCATGTATATAATACAGTGTATACTAGCCTATGTTTGGAGCTGGCAATCGAACTGCAATTGTGTGGACTTGGCAACCTTAAGGCAAAAGCACTTTATGACTCCATTGTCAAGGACACATCACTATCTTAACCTAGAAAGTGGCTCATGTAAACTTTTATATAGAGAATTAAATAAATAAATTAAAGTAGACAATAGATAGATTTGGACTGTCATATTTTCTAAATTGTTTGTTAAAATTCTGGCCCTAGGAATTGACATTATTACTCCTTGGTGCTTCATTCCCTTTTGCAAAGTTTAATTACCCTTGTGGTGGCGTACTAAAAAGCTACAAGTAAAGAAATGGTGTACAGTACAAGTACAGGAAATCTTACTAATCAAGCTGAGCAGAGTGTGGTACAACTGGAGGCCTAACCTATAACAACTGAAACAGCAAGGGGTATTTACTTCTTGTTTTCATTGCTTTTCCATACTGTGAGGCATCCTCTTCAGCAAGATTTAGGAGGAGGAGGAGCTAGAATACTCAGTATCTCCCAGTAAATAATTTGAATCATTCTTTCCAGAGAAAATTAATTAGGTATATTTCAACTGGGACTTCATGGATCTAGTAAGTCAAAAGGAGGTAATTTTGGCAGCTGCTTATCCTGTTATCTTGGATTCTTTCCAGCCTGTGGAGGTGAAGAATATAGGGAGAGTATGTAGAGAATTATGGCTACCATTTGCTTATTCAGCTTGCCCCTGCTAGTTAATTAAAATAAAATTAAAATAGCTAACAGGAGGTAGCACTGCAGCTCAAGGTGTGCCTGGATAATTATCTAGGTCCAATACTAGGAAGAATACAGTACTGAGACAGCTTTGGTACTCTTGGTGAACTATCTTCCATCAAAAGCCAGATATGAAGCCCTCTTGGATTTTTGATACCACCAGTCATTGTATCCTATATCACTGACCACCTGCTAGGATTAACTTTGGAACCTTAGTCACTACCGGTTGGGTGGGTGATTGCACACGCACACGTTCCCCCCTAATGTGTGCACCCCTAACAAGTCAATCATCTGAGAGGATGAAGAAACAGAAAGCTAGGAGCAATTCTCCCCATGCACTTTTCTGTCTTTTATCCTCTCAGCTGATTGTTGGAGGCTTTTTTCCCTCCTCTCAGCTGGAGGCTTTTTTTTTTTTTACTGCCAGTTTGGCTGAACCGGTCCAAACTGGTAGCATACCACCACTGCTTTGGAAGCACATTTGGCAATATTCTAACCCTATTTTCTGAATTGTCTCCTGACAGTCTAGAGAGAAATTTGTGTCTCAGCCTTTGAACTGGCTAGCCTTGGAGAAGAAAAAATGGACAATATCATTCAGTATAGCCTCAGTTTAATTTGTTCCTCAAAAATTAACTGTAATGATTTCCTAAAGGAAATTCTACTGTTTTTTTTTATATTGTAGAGAAACAGAGAAATTGAAATTGTATGTATTTTTTTCCTTTTTAATTTTTTTTTCCTTTTTAAAAAGCGCTGCTGTGCAAACTCTTCTCTGGACAACACCAAAATAGGACAACACCTACTTGAGTGATTTTTAAAATTAACTGCTTTTTAGTGTGCCGATTTTCAATTAGATTCTGCTGTCTGCAAAAGGCTTCTGTTGTTCTCTGCCTTTAACTAATTTTCATTCTCTTACTCTTTACTTACAATCTTATTACTTGAACTGACCTTAGCAACAACTTTATGATCCATTTAATGCTTTCCTATGGCTCCCTCTTTGCTTACCCTATTTGACCTACTTATTAACATTTTTAAAAGATGCTCCTCAATTCTCCAAGTTGCTATCAAGCAATGTTGTCTGTAGAACTGATACTTCTTATTCTCATTTCAATTAAGGCTGAATTAGTCTCTATGCTCTGCAGTTTAGAAGGAATACAAGAATAAAGCAACAGTAGGAGTGATTTAGTGAGAGCCCAGTCATGACTGTTGAAAGGGTGTTCAAATCTTTTGCAGTTTTTCCTATCTAGCATGGCTCAAGTCCATTTATCCAATGTTCAGCTCTCATCCAGTAAAACAAAATGGCTTACTTGACAAGTTGTTTGTAAAAGCAAAGTCCTTATGTGCCATATTTTATAGAAAGAGGAGGAACTCCCCCCCCCCGCCGAAAAAGTGCCCCCTCCACAAAATCAATCAATTTTTATCTTTGAACCATCTATAAATGCAGAAGCCAAAATCTGCTATCATATGGATGTTTGATCACAAAGTTCATAAATCATGTCCCTGGCAGTGAGGGCTAGGGCTCAAGAACTTGCAGTTTGAAACCCCTGGAAGACTTTGAGTTGGATCCAATATTAGCATATTCTCTGTTGGAGTTTTATAATAATTTTTTTTAAAGTGCCTATGATCGGATCCAGCATTTAAGAAACACTGTCAGGTTAGTCTCTTCAAAATATGGATATATAATATGATGCATCACGAACAACTTTCGTTGGGGACAACGTTATAGCTATCCCCCCAACATCCACACTACTTGGCCTCTAAAACAAGCAATCCCTTAAGCTCATTCAGGAATCAATGTACCTTCTCTAGCAAAACTTTATGAGTAATGGGAAATTAAAAACCATGGGATATTGAGATCATTCTGGTTAGTCTAAAATTCTAAACCAATATCCTAAAGCAGAGAAACATCAATAGAGACAAATAATACACACACGCATGCGCACACACACACACACACACAGATATTATAAGACAGGACTACTGCTGCAAAAAGCAAACAAATGCTTCTTTCTCAAGGCCCAACCCCAGAAAGCTCAAGAAATTAATGCAACATTAAAGATTATGCAAGCAGACACACATACACCCAATACCACACCTCCATTTCTTTCAGGACAGGGTGGTCTTCTATTCCTGGAAAGAGGACTCTCATGGCATAGGTGCAATAATCCAAAAAGGGGATGCCAGCCCCATCCAAGTCATTGGTCAGCTCATGGATATCAGTCTGCAGCTCGGCAAAAGCTGGGGAGGAAACAGCAGATTAAAAAGGCTGGCCAGATAAAACCTCCCTTTCAAGAACTCAGTGGACTAATACTTCCAATTGTACTGTTCAGCTTAAATGTTATTTAAAGTGGAAATGTGATTAATTCATTAAAATGGTATCATAGCTTACTTAAGTAGGAAAAGAGAACCTAGAGCAGGGGTCTCAAATTCACATCATCACATGACAAATCACGACTTTCCCTTCACTAAAACAGGGGTGGGCTTGGGCAGCACATGACGCATCTGGCCCACAGGCAATGAGTTTGACACCCCTGACATAGAGCAGGGTTAGGGAAATTTGGCTCTTTTAACACTTATGGACTTCAACTCCCAGAATTCCTGAGTGAGCCATAAAAGGTTCCCCATCCCTGGCCTACCATTTTTTCAGTTGTGGGGGAAATCAATTTTTGACCTGAATGGGACTGTTTAATATACAAATGTAGGACCTATAAAGAATATGTCCATATAAAGAATATGTCCTACATTTGTATATTAAACAGTCCCATTCAAGTCAAAAATTGATTTCCCCCACAACTGAAAAAATGGTAGGCCAGGGATGGGGAACCTTTTATGGATCACTCAGGAATTCTGGGAGTTGAAGTCCATAAGTGATAAAAGAGCCAAGTTTCCCTACCCCTGACCTAGCGGGTTCATGTTCCCCAAACTCTACTGGGTAGGGATTTCTTCAATGAAAATGGTTTAGTCTTCTGATACCGAAGAATCAAGTGGCAGACATGGACTAAGACCTCACTGTGAACTTTGACTTGACCTTATATACAAAAAGGTACTAAAAATGTGGATGGGGAATCAAGGCAGTTTTTTTTTTAAAGGAAGACGACTAGACACAAGAAAAGTGAATCTCTCCCCTTCTTTCAAATGGAACAACCATTTGGTAACAAAGTACTTGCGGAGACCTTGATGGTCTCTGAACCTAGTTTGCTTGCAGATGTTTCATTTCTCAAGTAGGTAATATCATCACTGGGGTTTACTTCCTGTTTATATGACCTGTATGTAAACAAGGCACAAACCTGATCCTCACTCACACCGATATTACTTAGTTGGGGTAATGAAATGTCTGCAAGCAAACAACTAAGTTCAGAGAGTACCAAGGGCTCCACAGTTCAACGCTGAACCATAGATATTCTCTTCTATTGGAATATAGTTTTCAACTGGGTTGGAACAGTTCACAAGAAAAATAAAGCACACCTTACAGCTTTAAATTCACCTAAAACAAGCCAGGTTGTTTGTTTTTGAGTTCTAAAGCTGGGGAGGGGGGAACTTTAGCTGAAAAAGGAGAGGAATGCAAGGGGGGGAAATCAAATTAATGGCACTTTAAAAGGAAGCTAGAAATGGCAGAGGGCTGTAGGCTGATCAGTTTGATGAGAAAAAACAAACCGTCAGTTTGAAAAGCACACTATCTTATCTGTAACTAGTGGGACTAGAAAAGAGAAAAGGCAGGGAAGATACTGCAGCTTTTAATTAAAAGTAGATCCTTTTATCTGCCAGCTATGGAAGACAAGGCAAAATCCTCTCTCCTTGCACTCCCTCCCTTCTTCTCCAATCACTCTGTCACTATTTCTATCTACAGGGCTTTTTTTTTCATACTACCTTTTTTATTATCTCATTTTAGGAGTCTGCTTCTAAAGCAGCTTCTGGGCCAACTTGGAGTTGGCAGGGTCACAGCCCCAGGCACTGGCTTGTGGTGATAATGGGCAATTAGGTTTTATCAGCAGGATCAGAAACAGTATTCTGTCCAATTTCTCAGCATCTGTCTGTCACATAATGAGAGACCCAGTCTCTCACAAGCAGACTTCTCTCTTCCTTTAAAACTTTTCCTCTTGAAATCTTGCTACATTCCTTCAAACTGTACTAAACAAAACCTTCAGTAAAATTGCCTCATCTGACCTCAAAGCAGTGCCTAAGCTTACACAAGTTTTGGGAGTCGCAAAAGCTATAATGGCAAGTGCGGCATAAACCTGGTTCCTACGGTGTTTTTAAAAAAATCAGTATTTATCTACCTGGCCTGGTTGCCTTACCGATCACAGACTCTTCAGTCAGAATGGCCAATGGTACAAGGGAATTCTGGTAATTACAATTACAATACCTGAAGGAAACCATGCTAAAGGTTTCTGCCTTAAATCATAGTGAATTGCTTCCTATTCATGCTCATATAACACAGTAACAAAACTGGAAGCAGAACAAATCTGATCATTACTCATTATTTGGCAACAACATTGTAGGCTGTTAATATTGGTGGAAAAGATGCCTTCTTATCCCGTCTCAGAAAAACAGGACAACGTATAATGTTCACCTACATCTTTTTGTTTTACTGTATGTTTTAGCTGTTGAGCAACTCTAACACTCTTTCGGAAGGCCCTGAAGATGTGGTTCTGCCAGTGGGCCTGGGGAACCCAGAGTAGGATGGAGCCCATTAAATGGTGGGTATGAATGTGTGTTGTTGGCAAGACAAGGGGCTATTTTTATTATTATTATTATTATTATTATTATTATTATTATTATTATTATTATTATTATTATTTTATTATTATTTCTTTTATATTGTGTTTTTATGTCCTGAAAACCATGTGCGAGTAGGTGGCAATATAAAATTTCTAAATAAAATAAAATGCACATCTCTAACATTAATTATTTAGAGCTTGTTTTCAGAGCAAATATGCATTTTATTTCTTGTGATCTAAGTAATGCTGAGATATCCCAAAGGTGCTTTTTTCAACTGGATTCTCTGGTTTTTCTTTGAAGACGTTTCATTTCTCATCCAAGAAGCTTCTTCAGCTCTGACTGGATGGTGGGGAATGGAAGGATTCAGTCAGAGCTGAAGAAGCTTCTTGAAGTGAAACATCTTCAAAAAAAAATCAGAAAGTCCAGTTGCCTCTTGAAAAAAGCACCTTTGGGATAACCGTGACCTGGATGACTGAGAATTTCCATAGACATAATGCTGAGATACTGAAAGACATGCATGCTTAAACTGTGAGTTGTGAGCCCCCAGCCCAGGGTGCAATGACCAATTCTAAATGGTGATTCCCAAATGTTTTACATTCTGGTTGGGCAAAGTAGAAACACAAACAGATCTGACTCTAGACTTTGCTTTCACTTTGTACAAGCTAGTTGCAGGATTGCCAGAGCAGAAAGAAGCAACTTTTAACAGTGTTTCTGCTTTGCAAATGGAAGGATTGTTGAATGTCAGTCTCAATTTTGCTCACTGCTTTGCCTGCACAAGTCTGCAGTGGGCAGTTATGGTTTGATAATAATCGATGATCGATGATTCCCCAGACTGACAAGGATCACTCAGAAGACTGTTTAAAAACAGCCATGTGTAGGCTCCTTAATTATCAGTCAAGAGACTCATTCACTGGCTCAAAAAAAGGAAATAAAAAGAAGATGAGGAATCTATCTCAATGTATCTTGGGGATATATTAAGAAATGTTTCAATTGCCAGGATTTTTGTAGCCTCCTCTCTTTCTTAACACATTTCTGCTAAGGAGATTTTGTGAGATTCAAGATTGGAAAAGGAATTTATTTCAGCTTTAGGAAGAGGCAAAGAGCATGCTGGTAATCACAGTGTTTGAAAAATTATGTGATATATAAAGATTTAATTTCAAATGTAAGTGGTGTAGTTGCTTCTTACCTAACCTTAGCCACAGTGGAATTATTAGTTCTATTAATAGAGAGGGAGATATTGCACAAATGTATTTATTGTTTTAGGGAGATATGGTGCTTGAAATATTGAGAATCCATGCTGTAGAGCCACAAAACTCCAGACATCCAAATTTTTGTGCTCCAGGTATTATAGTTATAAAACTGCTTCCCCCAAAGCTAAGTCTGAATATAAGTGTCTTTACACCCACTCTGACATTTACTGTAACCCACATTCGTAAAAGCAAATGAAAGGGGTCTTTCAGCAAAAAAAGTGTGACCAAGAATGTATAGGCAGCAATTTTCTATAACATTATTGGGGGGGGGGGGAGTGAATGCTACTGTGATTCTTGTTTAGTAATATAACTTTACCTGCAATTAGGGTGTTTATGAACCATGACATTATGATTAATACCCTTGCAACATTACATTTCTACTCAGATCTTCCTTGAAAATTGTATGGTTCTGTGGTTTCCCGATAGCTGATGGAAGAAACTTGACTTGTTTCAGTTATAGAAAATTATTTTACATTATATGGATGGATCTTTAAAAAATTCTAAATGAAACTTATGCATTTCTTCATGGTCTGCTAAAACCATATGATGTGGACAGAGGGGGGAAAATCTCTATCTAATGTGGTTGTTTCACATGGTTGTAGCCTGCAAACCTAATAGTCTGTATTCTGGGTGCGGGGGGATAAGAAGTTTTAATGTTATCTAAACAACTAAATCACAGAAACTAAACTGGGTAGAATGCTTCAATGGCCCATAAAGGAAACCTCAATCTAGCCATGATGGGGGAAGATTCATTCATTCAGTACCTAACATGATATGTTTGGTGCTTTAAAAAACAAAGAAAATTGAAAGGAACACAGTGATGCAGTGGGGAATGTTGAAACCAGCTTCTACCTGCATTTTTTTTTCTTATGGCAGTGGACTGACAACAATATAAATGACAGAATAACAGAAAGATGGCAGGCATCCTCACCTTCCTTGCATTCCAAGGCCACCCGTGATTCCAAGTTATCCATTTGCAACTGGAGACGTTTAAGGGTACGGTCAGCATCTCGAGACTTCCGTTTGTATGCAATAAGGACAATTATGATGATGAGCAAGAGAAGTCCGCCTCCTCCACCAATGCCAATAATGGCTGGTAAAGTCAACAGATTGTCAGAATAGATCAGCAGCGTCCCTGGAGAGAACTCAAACCCCCCAGCCTTAATCTGGAAGACACAAAGAGAGAAATACATCCAATACTATTGATTGCTACTGCCTTACTCCAAAGACAGACGTTTATTCTCTCTTTTACTTAGTAGACAAGTAGACTGAGCATATTTTGAAACTGGGCAATTGAGGAGATTGTCCAATTTCAAAATCTTGAAAGGAACTATTGACATAAGGACATTATCAACATATACTTTTCCAACTGGTGATCAGAAGCAATTTCTACATATTTTAACACTAACACTAAGAAGAAAAATATACTTGCAACATTGCTTTTTATTCTAGTAATAGCCCAGAAATTCTTTGTACTCAGCATACCATTACTAAAGTCTGTTCTTATCCTCAGTATGCCCATTTCTAAACAACTTCTAGTTAGCACTGGCTGCCACCTTTAAAGGGAAACAAATGTAAAAGCAGGAAAGAACAGGGGTAAGATACTGTAAGATAAGTCACACACTACCAGAAAGAGATTAGATGGGATATAGAATATGTAGGCACACTGCCGATGCTTGAACAGAGTAAACATCAAGTTTGATATCTCATTCAAATAACATTATAATAACACATGGCTTGCAAACTACACTCCTCTGATGGATGAACTTCCTGGAGGACAAAATGTTTTGGGTCCTTTTCAAAAATTTAAAGCTATAATGAACTCCAGAGTAAGGCCGAATTGTTGTACTAAAAACTAATCTTATATAATTCATGCAGATGCTGTTGAGTATAAAGAGAGAACAGGTAAAAAATTCAGAGATTAATGAGATTTTTCTTTTTCTTTCTGAAAACAGTATTAAAAAAATAGACTAAGTTTATGATCCATTTAACTTTTGCACAAACACAGATATAAGTCAATATTGTCAAGCTGCCACATTATTATGTGTTTTAAAATTATGCATACCTGTGTTTACTTTTGTAAGCAACTTTTCTAACACATGTGTTTTGTGCAATTTCATTTAATATGTAGATTTTTTGAGTGATAATTTTGAAACAAGGCCTGTGTAAAATCCATCAAATGAGAATCTGAAGGGTTATTATATTATGATCTGCATCCTAATTTGGAGACTAGTAGGCCATTTTGTTTAAAAAATGATTATTCCAGCATTCCTTCCTCAAGTACAGTTAAGAATTTAATATAGTAGTACATTAAAAAAAGTTTTACAGTGATATTTGTAAATACATTGAAGATGGAAACAAGAAGAGATTTGCTAAGAAACATGGGGGACTGAAGACAGTTCTGCAGAAGTGAAGGCAATAATGTAGCTAAGAACAAATAGTTGACAAGCAGATCAGTTCCTTTGATCCTCCCTGGAGAAAGAGAGGACATGAGATTGTTTGTGTTGGGTTCCCTACAGTTGCTTCTCACAAGCAGATTGCAAGGTGTCAGTCTCTGGAGGATGGGAGAACTGGGAAATTGGGGAATTTACCATTTGGCTCTAACCAGAGTTTTTCAAAGGACATTAAATTTGTATTTACTTTGCTAACCATCTTCAGAAATTGCCTATTAACCATTTTAAATAAATTAGATACTTCAAAATGATAAGTGGAAACATCAGATGTGTGCCGTCAATGCTTCATCTCAAAATAAAATTGTATCTTTATAAACTTTAAGAATTTAAAATACACATCAAAAAGCAAGACAAGATTTGGGCCATAGAAAGTTTTAAACTGATTAAGGGCTCAGAGTATCAATATTTGATTCTGAATATTAAAACTTTGAAATTAATTTTAAACAATAAATGCATTTTCCTAGGAAATACAATATGTTTGAGACATAACAAGAAAACCAACTTACAATGGGGTAGAGAGATATTTTGAGGAATTGCACCAGAAGCATGATTTTTACAGGAAGAAGCAACAATGATCTATGCATCCAATAGTGCTTTAAGTAGTCCTTGAATTATGACCGGTTGCTTAGTGACTATTCAAAGTTAAGATGGACCTACCTGGGAAGTACTTATAATTGAGAATCAAAATCCAGGGTTACCCCACCAACTTGGCCACCTGATCACACTTTAGGTGCTTAGTAACCAGGCCACATTTACTGACATTTGCAGTATTCTATGGTCATCTGTCTGCGTTTTAACAACAGTTTTGTGTTTTATGACAATTTTGCTAAAAACTGCAATTATTTCTGGTTTTTGACAAAACCATGCCCCATAGAGAACCTGTGCTTCACTTAATGACTGTGGATTCGTTTTAGGATTGCAGTGTTCACTTAATAACTGTGGATATGCTTATTGACTGCAGTTATTCACTTAATGACAGCTACAAAAAAGTCCTCTACTGGGTTGGTTACATGACTGATCCACTTTATGATCATGATCAGCAAGCTTCATCATGGTCACAACTTGAGGAGTACTTGTTCTGTAATAACTGAAAATGCAAAGGATTTCCAAACTGTAGTAATGAAAATCAAGGAGCATAGTAAAAAAGTGGGATTAAGATTAAATATAAAGAAGGCCAAACCAAACTAATGACAACAAGTGTAGCAACCAGCCTTAGAATTAATAAGGACCTGGAGTTGTAGACAGCTTCTGCCTTTAGAATCAGCTATCAATAGTAAGGAACTAGCAGTCAATATATATGCTGCAAACAAGAACCTAGTATAGAAGCAATAAATCCTTGAAAAAAATTCTGGATGCTATGTCATATCTGTACCTAAAAACTCCAGAATTATGTAATAATGGTGTTCCCAATGATGATCTATGGAAGTGGAGGTTGAATTGTGTGGTAAAAGGACAGAAAGTGTATTGATTCTTTTGAACTTTGGTTTTGGAGAAGATTTCTAAAAATACCATGAATATCCAAGAAAAGAAGCAAATGGTCATAGAACAAATCAATACAGAGCCCTCATTAGAGGAATAAAAGACCAGGCTGAAATTATCATATTTTGAATATATTATGACAAAGACCCAGCTTTCTTGAGACATCCATAATGCTGGGAAAGGTGGAAGGAAAGAGAAGAGGATGACAGTAGCAAGGTGGACAAACTCATTTGCAATCGTGTCAGATACACCATGGGGAGATCTGATAGACCAGGCTGGGGACAATCATCTTGAAGAAGGTCTATCTATATGGCTGCCAAAATTCAACATCAAACTGACAGCACATAACCAATATATAAAGTTATCTCACAAAACTAAATAAGCAATATGCACAATACAAATAGATAAACAGCATAGTTCTCCAAATAGCAGAATTTATATTTGGAAAGGGAAGGAGGGAAGAGTGACAAAATTCAAAGGACAATGCCTATATTCTGCAACCTTTGTAATTTCACAATTCTTTTAGCAAGGAAAATAAAATAAGCACCTGGTGCTCATTATAAGCCTGTCCAGGTAAAACAAAAATACAAACAGGGTCTTGCCTGACTTGCCTTACCGTCACTTTATGTTGTCCTGTGAGGTTTGGGGATTCACAGAGCAGTTGAGTTTCAGAAACAGTAAGAGCACACGGAGTGTCTCCAATGAGTACAGTGTAGTTTAACCGGGAATTACCAGGTGCTGGTGGGAGCAGGTTACGGCCCTTTAAGAAGAAGAAAAGTACATTTGTTGTTGTTGTTCAATCACTAAATCATGTCCAACTCTTCGGGACCCCATGAATTATAGCATGCCAGGCCCCCCAAAAATGTTGCATTAACTCACTCACTCACCCATCTGTTTGTTTATTTGTTTGTTTGTTGTTTACCCCTTCATTATTTTATAAGTAACTCAATGTAGCAAACATATATAATATTCCTTCCTTCTCCTATTTTCCCCACAACAATAAACCTCTGAGGTGAGTTGGGCTGAGGCAGTGACTGGCCCAAAGTTACTCAGTCAGTTTTTATGCACATGGCCTAGAACTCAATCTCCAGGCTACCACTATAGTCAACTTTATCTTTTTAATTCAACTTTTAACTCTGTTCAGCTTTGAAAAGGAAGTACGAGGAATTGAAAGAAAATATATCAGACTACTGAAGGGATAGGTCCAATAGCTATTCTTGGATGGGGAGAAAGACCAGTAAGAGTGAATATGTATCAAAACCATTAGGTTAAAAGTTGTAGAAACCCCTCCCCTCTGTCCAGTCTGAAGGCAAGCCAATCCATAGGTGCGAAGTTGTTATGAGAACCTCGAGCTGAGAAGGTGCTAAGAAGCTATTCTCAGGCGCCATTTGCTTGTTCCCTCGCAGCTGAGACAAAACAAATGGCCCCAGCCTGTTCCCTCCCCTCTTCCATTCTCAGGAAGGTACCTCAAAGTAAAAGAAAGAACAGAGACAAGGAGAGCTTGTAGCAATAGCAATAGCACTTAAGACTTATATACCACTTTATAGTGCTTTACAGCCCTCTCTAAATGGTTTAACTGGCATCCAGGCCTTCCCCACAAGAATGGCAGCATCCCAACAGGGATCTATGGGGATCTGACAATGTAACTTGCAATGGTTCCCCTCTTCTGTTTTTGAAACTGTAATGGGAACATTCAATCAATATTTTTTCTCTTCTTAGCAATTAAATTTCAATCCTACACTTGTACATTGTGAGTAACACAATCTATTAGATTAATGGACAACGCTTTCCCTGAATGGGTCTGGGAATTCCAAACAACACTTATCAACATAATGTGTAACTAGTACTTATGTAATAAGACCAGGAACGATGTTCAAGAAGAACATTTGTCTCTAAAACCTGCAGAAACGAGGCTGAATAAATTATTACCTTGAGGATAAGAGGAGAACTTGGCTTGAGCTCCAACATACCAGATGGCAAGGATTCAAACACAGGATCTGGATAATAGATAAAGTTAGTTCTGTTGATGATCAACAAGGCTTGAACATTGTCCATAATAAAGCCAATCTCATCTGGTCGATCACCAAGTTCTGAAGGGCTCTTGACTGGGTTATCAATGGAAGGAGCATAACACACCATGATGGTATCATTGTAGACTGTACAGTTCTGAAATGCAAAGGTTAGCAGGCTTAACCAATTTCCTTTTTCATTAATTTTATCTTATTGCCAAGAAAAAGCAATTTCCTCAAGCCATCTGCCCCACCCTTAACTTTTTCACATAACTAAGCAAGTCTCCCCTCCCGACACTACTGCTAGCACTCTGTCCTCTTTGAGTTGCTGTTCAGTGCTAGCTGGGAAACAGAAAAACATGGAAGGTAGCAACTTCCTTCCGTTTTTCTAGCAACGATGTATTAAAAACAGGAACCAGTCACTATATAGGAAAGGGACAATAAAGCAATCCCTTGGAGTGGTGGGGAAGATGAGTATCTTGTCGGCAACAGGCAGGGAGAAATTTTCGGAACCAGGAGGTTGAATGAAGTAGGAACTCCTGCCAATGTGAACTTCCTTGTATTACAACTCCATAATGATAGCTTTTCTTTTGGATCAGAAACTATGCCAATAATTAATTGATTCAGCTTCTCAAATAGCATGCAGGCCTCATGGCACTGTGGGGAATCACAGATTTAAGCCTGGCAGTCCCCCCCGCCCCCCCCATGTATTGTCATTATCAAATGTAATTAATTCCTAGGAAGAGATGTGCATTTTCCTCCTTCAATAAATAAACCTAAATCAGGAGTGTGTAACCTTTTTTGCTATTAAATTGTTAATTTTAAATTAATTATTAATTAAAATAGATGTAAATTATTTAATTCATTAAATATTATTAAAATTAATAGGTAATGGATGGAGAATTTTGGTAGTTGGTCCACAAAACTTAAAAGTTTAATTTTGTGGTGCTATTATCTACGGCAAGTGATTCTGGTGACATATCCTATGATATCTGTGACATGAATTTAGGTATATCAAATCTCTTTTGAAACTATCCAACATTTAAAAATCTGGGATGAGCCTTTGCTGACTTAACTGAGATGAAGTATAACAAGGTACTGCATTTATTCTTTGTTTCAAAAAAGGAGAAAATGCTTCTGGTAAGATTCCTATTTTTTTTCAGATTTTCATTTAATTATGAATCAAATATGCTGGTTAAACTACTTATTTTACATTCTTTTTCTTCATACCCCTTTAGACTTTCTTCCTATTTGTCCATTCTAAAGAGACATAAATTAAACAATTACATTTTCAACTTATTTAGCTGATTTGAAGGGGAAAAATTAAACTGAATAATAATTAAATTGAATAATAATTTAATTGGATGTAATGGCACATTTCTCCAACAAATGTGCAAAACAGAAAAGGGCTAACTTAAATGAACTCAAATTATTGCAACAGAAAGTAAAACTTTAATTTCAGGAAAACCCAGGTGTACTTTGTCATGTGAGACAACAAATGCAAAAATTTGCTTAGATATCAATCTTCAAGTAAAGATTGATTAATGAACTAAATTACCATTGCCCAAACTTGAAGATTGCCATGGTGGTGGTTGTTGTTATTATTACTATGATTTGCTTTCAAGTCACTTTATTGTGACTGCCTGGAAAAGTCTCTTTTAGGCTTTTTTGCCAGGTTTTTTGGGAAGCGGTTTGCCATTGCCTGTTTCCTGTTTCCTGAAGCTGAGAGGGAGCGATTGTCCCAAGGTCACTCAGCTGGCTTCATGCTTAAGGGTAGACTAGAGTTCATGGTCACTGGTTTCTAGTCTGGTGCCTTACTTACTAAACCAAATTGGTTCTTTGCTCTCTGCTGTGGTCATTAAACTTTACTCAAAAATAGCACTGTTTCAAGTGCTGCTGTCAATGAAGGACATAGTTTTAAAAAGTACAAGATGACACAATATTTTTCTGCCGTTCTTTTCCCTATACTAATTATGTAGATTTTACCTAACTCTTTCTGCATCACAGAACACATCCAAGACATCCTAAGTAGACTGTTCTCATTTCTCAAGCTGTGAATGTGAGGAGCACAAGAAATTCTTTCTCCTTGCACCATTTAAATGTTGACTGTGATATAAGATAGCCAAAGTTTCCATAGTTTTTCAAAAATTTCTGAATTATGCTATACCTGGCACAACAATGCAACAAAACAACTGAGCTTGTCAACCCAAGTAATTATGGTTTTCATGAAATTCTGAAGTCTTTAAGAAATATATTGTCCACTCATCAAAAAAAACAACAACTGAAGGCAGACTTTTGATCATGGCTGCTCAGGCATCCTGGATCCAAGCTCTCCAAATTCCAGATCAGAATGTGCATCCCTAAAACAACTGGAGAATACTACATTGGGTTAAAGCTGGATGAAGGTTTACTTACATTCTCCTTCTCAGCAGTGCCATATTTGGCTCGGATTCTGGGTGCTTTGATGGTGGCCAGGTTGGTGCCCGTCACAGTCAGTAATGTCCCACCACTAGGAAGCAAACAGAAGAAGTCATCTGAAGCTCTTAACGAAGAGAGTGCAAGCAGCCTAAGCCAATGAAACGAAGCATTCCTTTTATTCCAATATTTAGCAGCTCCCTGCTCTTTTAACTTCATGCTGGGAAAAACAATGTCTTTGTGAGTGACTTCAGGCAGTGTTGGGTAAAAACAAACAATTCCTACTCTGAGTTCCATTAATCTCCACAGTGTACCAAGGATGCCCAATATCAGGTTTTGACTCTTAACAAGAACAATAGTTCTTCCTTTTGCCCATTCTGAAATGCTGCCACAGCTAAGGAACTTGGCTGAGGCACATGACTGTTGATTCTTCTCTCCTCGGGATGCTTTTTCGTCCAACTTTTAAAATCTTTATTGGAACAATGGGGTTGTTCAGCTTGCTTTGTCTGTGCGACTGCCGATGCTTCTCTTTCTATCCTTTTGCCCCTCCTTGCTCCATTCAATTTACTTTTATGGGGCGGGGAAAGGTTTGTTGCTTCCCATTTATTATTAGCTTCACCTTAAATTAACTTGGTCCTGAACACAGTTATCATTTTTATTAGGCTGTGCATTTAAGACAAATGCAGTCAACTTCAACATTTAGTAAAATGTTTATTAGAGTGCTTTAAAATAGCACACTCTGTTCCCATTCTATGCCATGTCGCACAACTAGAGATTCCCCCCCTTATATAGCCAAATTTTTTGTAAATAGCTAAACTATTACAGTGCCAGTCTATAAATGATTAGGATAGGGTTTACTCCCAAGTAAGTCTTAACAGCATTAACTGATGCCAAATTTCAGGTAGAAAATATATTATTCCTTCCAGTGTTTATTTTGGAATTCTGTATGGAATCCAAAATCTAGCTATAGAAGGATATATTTCTCAGGCATTGTTTTAATTCTTTTGATACGGATCCATTAATTACCAGTAAAAACACAACAAATAATATGTTTTTCAAATCTTACAGATTCACTTTCATATTGATATTTTGTGAGAAAATGCATGTCAAAAGCAAAGGTCTATTGTCCCAAATACAAAATAATTTTATTGTGGGAAAGAGATATACAATATCAGCAATTTATAAATAATTCCCTGAATTGTCCTCAAATAAGTCATTAAATAAATACAAAACAGATAGAAAACCTAACATTTGTAGGAATTTCTTCTGACTCTTGGTATTGGTATTAACTTCTACCAAAGAGTAGATGTGCAGAATGAAGGGTGCCAACAAATAACATATTATATGGCTATCGTGCCTTCACCTTACAGTATTGATTGAAATAGCTTAGGAATAAAGTTATGATATTCTTCAGTAGTTTTTCTCTGTAAAACATAAACTGCAAAAAAAAAATCAACAAAAAATGGATAATTTTATTTATTCAATCTTACCTTCTGATACTCCATTCAGGTTCTATCTTTTGGATTGTGGGATCCTCAGTATAATAATATGTAACATCAGCACTGCTAAGGACAGCTCGATTTATATGAATGAGGATGGCTGAACTACCTGGAATCTGACCAGATGGGGTCCTACATTGAATTTCACCAGCATTTCTCCTGTGGGACATAGGGAAATGGGGGGGAGGGAGAATGAAATACAATGTCATTTGCTAAGTTTAAGACAGCAGGCATTTTTAATATTGCTATACCATGATATCAAACAAACTGAAGATCCCATTTGTACCAAGCAGGCAATTTGTTCACTTAAGGCAGTCCAAGTCTACTTTTCATCTTCACGATCAGCTAATGAAGCCAGAGGCTCACCTCCAAATAATCACTGTCAGTCAGCTTTTTGCAAAAATGAATCAATGGCTAAAACTGGCTCACTGAAGTATATGTAAGAATACAAATAGCAACATGACTAAATCAACTATAGTGAACAGGTCCTTAATGCCATTCATAATTGTGAGTCTACATACAGGTGCTAAGTAGAATTATGATCTTGCACAAGTAACTCAAAAGAAAATGCAGGTAGAAAATACACAATTGAGTATCTAAAAATGGGATTGCAGTACCTGAAGATCTCCTTTCTCTTAGTTGATTTATTTATCACTCAGATTTATATGGCTGACTACTTAACATGTAATTCAGGGTATAACATCAATTAAAACAAACAGAAATAACTAATGTTTTAAAGACAGCATATTAGTCCCTTAACATTTTCAAGATTCATATATTCATTCAATTTGTATTGGCCTATCTCAAATATATGACTGAGTGTCTTCTTAATTTCCACCAGCAATAAGAGTTCTTATTATAGGATATTCATAACCTAATTAAAGGGATAAATATTTAATATTGATTCTTTTAAAAAATAGTTTAAAACAGTATTTGAAAATGAAGAGGATGGGAAGACTTATATAAACAATGTAAATAAATATAATCACCTTATTTCTTGGAAAATGTGAGCTTCTATGTTTTTAAAGAGGCAAATACATGATGAGTTATATGTGTTTATGTAAGGTGTAAGGTAAAAGATATTCTGCTATTTTATTTCAAAATATACTGGGGAGCAAGATACTTTAGCTGTTGCTTAAAAATCCTGGTGGGCAGTGTCTAAATAGCCTCAGTTCAATTTGAGTGTTTGCTGAGGAATAATCTAAATCTGATACCCTTGTCAAATCAATACCTATTTGTTATGTTTTGTCTGCTAACAAAGTTATCTAAGTACTAGTGTAATTCTCTAAAGGAACTAGCACCAAAAGGCCAACAGATATTCTCAAAATACATTTTCTCAACTATAATTCAACAGTAACTGACCAGGCTGAAATTGAAAAAGGGCATAAACCTGTTTGCTGTAACAAAGAATACATTGGGAACACAGCTTAGGACATGAAACAAAACACAAAGGAATTGGGCTAGTAATGAATGATAGTCATCTTTTAATTCCTTTAACCCAGATTGCCACCACATCAAAATTGAGTCTCTGTTTTGTCCTTAAAAGCCCAAATGACTGTGAAGGGGTGTTGATTCCCTTAGAATAGAAAGTTCTAAGAATCACTGAATTAGTGGCAGATGCCTTATTAGCAAAATACCTAAGGGAAAAACCATGAAAGAGAATGGCGAATATTACCTTCCAATACTGTACATAAAATCTTCAACCTGCTCCAACTTATCACCATCTAAATAGCATGACTGTAGCTTATAACTTTTCTCAAAAACCAATACTTTGGATTTAATGTAATTAATTTTCAGTGAATTAATATTCCAGTACTTTGAGAATTTAATTAATAGGTGTTTAAGGAGGAAGTCATTCTGACCCATGACCAGAAGAGCAATAATACAGTAGCAAGAAAATCCTCTTCCTACAACATGCCTTTCAATCTTATAGCAAGCAGTAAGAATTAGATTGATTCTGACCCATCATCTTTTTGGCATCAGAAAGGGTAAACTGGAAGAGAGATGCATAGAAAGAATAGATTTCTCTGACCTCTCCCAAATTATTCTTTCTGAAATCATCCCTGTGAAACCATGTCATCTATAGGTGGTAGCCTGTTTATGTATAATTTAGATTTCTCAAGCCACCTAATTCAACAGCAACCCTGGGCAGTTCTAAGATTGGGGATTCTTCCTGTAACAGCAGAAATGGCAAGCAAGAAAAACTGGTTGGCCCAGAAATTTACTTGGTAACCGAAACAGCAGCATTGATTCCACAGCTTGTAGGCATGGGACAAGACATGTAACATTTCTCTCTAAGCCAGAGAAATGATCTGGAGACTCATCTTTGATAAAAGTTCTCAATGGCTGCGAACATTTATTACTTCTCCCTCTTCCAAAAAAAAAAGGACACACAAGAAAGGTAATTTAACATCACATCCGATACACCTATGGAAAGATATTTTAAAGTTATAAGAATATTAGGAAATCCAATGAATGTTAAACTGGAAGAAGTCCTTGCAGAGCAAAGCATGCTGACAATATAGTAAGTACAAAAGTTAATAAATTCAGGGGAAACACAAAACTTGCAATGAGGCTAAAACTGCAGTGATCCAAAGCAACTGGAAAGATGTGAAAGACCCCTACATAGACATCAAGAGTCTCTTTTTCCTGACTTAAGAAGCATAGATAGAAATGCCCAGTTAGTGCCTTGTGCTGTTTTAGAATCTTACTTCTACAAAGCACAGAGATTGCAACCAAAAAGCTGAACTACTGGTAAATTATAATATGAACTTAGCAGTATCACATGAATTATCAGTTTTACTAGTTCAATTTCCATACAGTAATATATTTGAATTTACACATGGAAAAAATGTGGAATGAATGTTAGGATTTCCTTGCGAAAATTCCAGGTCTGGCTGTCTTATAAGCAGTTTACAATAGGTTTTCTACAAATAAAATATTAATATCTGCATCTGGTCCTTCCCCACCCACTCCCTCTAATCTCCTTGGGAAGTTCTGCTAAAATTATCAGTTAATGTAAAAAGAAAATAAAACACACACAGTCTTTGAAGCTGGCATAACTCTGGAGCGTTCTCCATCATGCAGCGACTGCAAACAGCAGCTATTAAGGCTGATAACCAGTAATTACCGCACAAAAATATTTAAAGAGCCGCTCCATTATCATCCCTAATCTAAAAATTATCCACTTCATGGCTCAGGGATTTGTGTTCTTTTTAAAGGAAAAGGAATTCATTCTTTGGTCTTTCTTCTTTTTTTAATGAACCATGAAAAGAAATTCCACAAGCTACACAGAAATGTTTGCTTGGCTCCTTAGGAATATTATCTTATTTCACATTGTAGTCACATGTTTATACCTACTGCATATATGTAATTCATCAGTTCAGTACATTCCAGCCTTTCTTCCTTCTACATACAGGTAGTCCTCGACTTATGACCACAATTGACTTTGACCCAAAATGTATGTTGTTAAGTGAGAATTTGTTAAGTGCGTTTCACCCCCATTTTACCACATTTCTTGCCACAGTTGTAAAGTGAATCGCTGCAGATGTTAAGTTAGTAACCTGGTTGTTAAGTGAATCTGACTTCTCCATTGACTTTGCTTGTCAGAAGGTTGCAAAAAATGATCACATGACCCAGAGACACTGCAACAGTCATAAGTATGAACCAGTTGCCGAGCATCTGACTTTGGGTCACATGACCATGGGGATGCTGCAAAGGTTGTAACTGTGAAAAATGGTCATACAGTAGAACCTCTGGTCATGACTATACTTTGTTCCATAACTTTGGTTGCAACCCGATTCGGTCGTGACCCAGACCTAATTTTGGAAATTTGGCGCTTACAAAAAAAAAAATTGCACGGAACAGGAAATCAGCCACGTTAAAAAAAAATGTGAATTTTTTTGGTCGGAACCTGATTTGGTTGCGGTCAGAAGCATTCGTGACCAGAGGTTCTACTGTAAGTCACTTTTTTCAGTGCCGTTGTAACTCTGAGTGGTCACTAAACGAACTGTTGTAAGTCAAGGACTACCTGTATTGACTGACAACCATTTATACACCAAATCAAGAAAGCTCACCCTGCAAAAGCACATGGTTGTCCTCCAATGGTCACTGTGATGTTACTTCCTGCATTGAGATGTCTTCCTCTGATGCTAATCCAGGTGCCCCCAGAAAGAGGCCCACGAGATGGGATGACTTGTGAGAAGGTAGGAGCCTGTCAAAAGGAAACACAGTCAGTTCACAGCATTCAGAAGATAGCCTTAATGTACAAACATAACAAAAGGACTTATGAAAAGACTTGTAAGCAAGAATTTAAAAATAAAAATGGAAATTTCTTCACATCTCAGATACTATATGGGTATCATATTGCTACAATACGCAATTAAACTCAGAACATAAAATCAATTATGAGGGTATTAGTGATAATTCAGTGCTAGTTCATACACAATTATTTCTCTATAATCTTATTGTTTGCACTTGTACATTACCTCAATCAACTAGTTCCTTTGATGTTTATAACAAGATAAAATACATAATAATTATAAAACCCCCAAAAATAAATAAAACAGGAGTCTAAAGGAATAATAAGGTTACAATTGATAAACAACAGATTACACTGGCTAAAGCTCAGCATTTTAAAGACTCAAGTAATTAAAATATTGGGTAAATATATCATAATTTTATACACTTGAACATGCACATATATTACAGTGCCTTACAGATAGGCAAATTGATGCTTTTCCAATGTTTTAGCTGTAACTGCCATCATTCGGAGAGAAAAGATTCTGAGAGGTCACCCTTATTTGTACCCCTCTACTAGCCAGAGAACACCTGTTTAACAATAAATGCTGTACAGAACAATCTTAGAAACTGACAAACGATTCTAACCAGCCAAAGTCTCATTAGTTGCTTCACAGTTTTGAGTAATTTTAGAAACTGCTATCAGCAGATGCCAAGCTCTAAATCAGTGAAAGGAAGCAGCTCATCATTGAGATGCTGCTGTTTAAATCTTGATCTAGTCCGATAGAAATTAGTTAATGACTGTTCCAGTCATATTTATGAGATGGGAAATTTTTCTTTCTTAGTTAAAATCACAAAAGAATCCTAGTTTAAGCAAAAATGTCTTGAATCTTCTAAGGCTGAACAGATTGACTGGTAATTTATTTCTTGGCATGCCTTTTGTGCCTTTTTTTTTTAAATAAAGGTTAGGCTATAATTTCCGAATTAAATTAAAGTGCTATCTACCAACAAATAATAAACATGAGCATAGTTAGGATAAGGGATTGTGATAGAAAAACAATTAAACAAGGTAAATCCGTAGGGCAAAAATGGGATTCGATGGGGAGATGAAATAGCAAAAGCAAATGTCTAATATTTTAATCTTACCACAAATGTGAAGCTTTTTGGAGCTATAGCCTTGTAGCTGGGAGAACAATCTCTGACACACACTTCTACAGGAGCATCTTGAATTTTGCTGGGGCTGGCTTCTCCAATCTCACAGACGATCCTACAGAAGGCACATCAATTGAACATGTTATAAATACAAGAAATGTCAGTGGCTCTTATTACATATATAAGGTGTAGCTACCCTGCATATCACTGGCCATATCCCTATGTCAAATATTTCTGATGTTCTTGATTCTTTCTTTCAATCTTGTCATTATAATTGAATGGGCTGTTGTTATTTTAATTAAATGCCATTTAACAATTTCAGCAAATTATGCCTTAGCATACATCAAATTGGTGTTTGAACAATAGGCATATTAAAATTGCAGAATACATAAAATATTACAAGGGGAGCATAATTTAACTCAGTAGGGAATCAATTAAAATTTAATACAACTAAAAAGAAAAAAAACATTTATTTTCATTCCGCCCCTATCCTATCACAGTATGTGTTAATGTAATGTAATGCACATCCATAAGTTAAGCAGTGAAAAACATGCCCATACATTTTTGGCTTTGTATTTTGATTTACTATCTACAAGCAAAAAGAAAGACACCCACTAAATGTTCCTACATTGATTTTTCTTATTGTATCCTATTGATGTTTAAACTTGCTCTGTATTTTTCTATGTAATTTTAAACTAGGTAAATTTGAAGAGCAGGGAACACAGAATGTATGTGGCTAGTCAGAATTGACCAGCTTTAGATAGTGTGGCTTTGTAAACACGTATTTAACTCAGTGGGTTTTAAATTAACACGAAATATGCAGTGAAAAATCATTCTCTCCTCCTCCCCCCGCCCCCAAAAAACCCCAGGTACATTTTGTTTTCAAAATCAAAACTCTGTTAACGACTCACAGAATCATTATATTTTACCATCCAATATTTTCCAGAAATGATTTGTGAAACCAGAAGAATCTTTCTGACAGGATGTCACAGAAGATTTGGCATTCCCCTTATTATTTTGCCGTTGTTTTGTGGGACCAAACCCAGAGGAAGATCTGGCATTATTATTTTTAAGCTATCCTGCCATTCATTTTTTCCCTTAAATTGCTTGGAGAAATGCTTATACACTTGCCATCTCATTTAATAAAAACAGGAATCCTATGAGGAAGATTAGGGTGAAAGATAATTGCTTCTAGCATGAACTGGTGACCTTCATGGATAAGCAGGAATCTGAATCTTTATCCAAGTTCAGCTGCCTTATCAACGTCACCACATTGGCTCTTCCCAAAATAAGAAACAGTCATTTTAAAATGAGTTAAATCAAGAAGTGCTGATGGTGACTAATGCTCTAAAAGAAAAATCACAGCCATCTTTCCTTATTGGCAGCACACAAATCTTGACTGTCCTGCTTTTTATAGTTATATAGGATCTCATAAATGAATCTATTTTTTATATCCTACATAGTCATCTATAATTTGAAGGATACTCACTGCTCAGCACTGATATATTCACTTTCAATGGGGATACATATCACTTTCCCAACCCGTACACCCATGCGTACATCTTCAAACTTCAGGCCCAAGTTCTCACCAATGATGGTTAACCGAGTCCCACCTTGCCGGGGGCCTGTTTCAGGAAACAACTAAGAAGAAACAAAGCAGACTGTTTTGAAATCCATCAATGAATAGGCAATGAACATCAACATCTGCCCTAGCATTGTTATACCATCCTCATACTAGTAAGTATGATAGTATAAATTTTTAAAGTTTGAGGCAGGTTACCATTTACAATGAACTTATCAGTAAAAAAATTAAAATTGAAGTGATAATCATTTAAAATTCAAGGAGCCCTTCTATAGTTCCAAACAAGTTTCTATCATCGAAAGCAGTAATTTCTCTACCTCCTGAATTCCATTGTCCATTTTCTTACTACATTAACTTGCCATAATATATCCCACTGAACCGATCAGAATATGAAAATGGAAACCATAAATTCATATTCCACTTAGGAGATGGCTTGCTAACACTATTAGCATTGGACTTCACGATGGTCCAGGGAATCCTTCTTAGCATTCTGCTTGTTCAACCCTTGATGTTCTCAGAAAGCCTACTATTTCTTTCTCATGCTATGAATTATTAAAAGAAAAGCCATCATTTCAGAGCCTTCCTTACAAAGAAGACACCAATTAACTCATGTAAAATGGGGCTTATCTTTCTCTAGTAATTCTGGAATATCCCAGCACACAATAGTTTCTGCCAGCACCAGCTGGGGAAGGAAGAAAGCCCCAGTAGAGCATGATATGGCTCATTTGTTAGGATGATTCCCAATAAAATGGACAGGTGTGGCTTGACATATGCCAGCGTGATGACAGATGAGCCATGTGTTACAAGCCCACCATTGCCACTAACAAGGTAATTATGGGCAATTTTACACCACATTTTGCTGGGCCCCAGTGCTTGGCATACACCTGCAAGTGATAAAAAGGATTAATGGGCACCCAGCTGGGAAAGCTCTTCTGGGTCACCACAACCACAACCAAGGGAAGGGACTCCAGGGCCGAAACAGCATAAAAGGACCCAGCAAAATCAAGAACCAACTGATTACTTGATCAGACAAGCTGGCCCCCAGTCTCTGCACTAATCCTAGACAAAGGCTATGCATCCTTTCCTAAGCTTGGTACTGAGGAGGCTTAGGGATAGCAAAGAGCTTTGGAATGCATGCAATTCTTAATTTGCCCTGCTGAAAACTCTTAAATGCTCAGGAAACGTTTTATGTTTAAAAATAAACAGAAGACATAAAAGTATAGTTAAGACAAAGCCTCTTAGTACTGCCTACAGATCAGCTTTATACTGCCTCTACAAAATGCACAGGGATTGGCAAGGATCCAAGAGAAGGAATTTCTATATTTATGAGTCAGCCTGCAAGTTACTTCACTACATGCCCAGATCATGTTGTTTTTATTCAATTGATCTCAATAGAGATGATGAGTCATAAGCAAGCAAGTTTCCCAAAACCCGGTAAGCCCGAATTGTTCGGTTCTAGGCTTACATCTAGCACTGTAGCTGAAAAGTTATTTAAAGAGTCATTGAAATAAGCATAACAACCTGCAAACTTCAACTGGCCAAGAATGTAACAAGATGGACAATGATGCAATGATGCCCATCTCACTTCATGGAATGCCAGGTTGCTTTCAGGTATGATTCAAAGTGCTGGTTATGATCTATACACACACAGACACACACACACACAGTTTTATTGATTTTAATTTTGTAAGCTGCCCAGAGTCACCTTGTGGCGAGACAGGTAGCAAACAAAATCAATCAATCAATAAAATGCTTTCTATTGGGGATTCCTATTTTTTAGTTTGTTGGAGTCAGATGAGGTCAAACTGAAATGAGGGAAGGGAAGAGATTTTGTTTGTACACTTCCAGGAGAGGATGCAAATATAGATAACACCATCATTCTAGATTATTGACTATCAGATATTAAATGCATCAACTCAGTAAGGGGAGGGGGGATGAGAAAGAAAGGAACTAGGAAGATTCAAGGGTGGTTAGACAGTCCTGCCAATATCCTGAGCTCTAAATGCCAAATATCCAACTGCGTCTCCACCCTGCAACTCTGAATTTCTCTATTACTTGCTAGCCTTAACCAATTGATGATTTTATTTCAAGCATGCCATTATGAGAATTAAGAAAATGAGAGTGCAGGGAAGTTGGCAGGTAGCCTGACACACAGACCATGTGAAGCAGTTTTTATGAAGAGATCTGACAATCTTTTGTCTGAAATGGTATTGGTTGGACTAGATGACCTACAGGATCCCTTCCAACTCTGTTATTCTGTTAAGGCAGGAGACACCAGCCTTGCCTTAGCTCTCTGTATGACTATCCTCCGAATTTTGACTCGGCCAAAACCCAGAATCAACAAAATCTGCCAGGTTTTGAATTTCTCAAACCACTCCCCACCTGGAAAAGTTTAATACAACTTCCGAGATGCAATGTATGAAGTCCATTTCATCCATATCTATAATGACTCTCCCTATTGACAGATGGAGAAAAGGTTCTGCTGGATAATGACCATATGACAAGGTGCAGATCTGTTGCTGTTTGCCCAGAGCCAACGTGGACTATGAATACAAGACTACAAAGCCCATCTTTGTTCCCTGATTTGCAGGTTACTCCATTGTTAAACTATGATAAAGGCCTGAAGGAGTCTTGCCACACTATAGAATTTATGCAAGACAAGACAATTTGAAAACTGGAGTCTATCATTCACCTACATTTAATCTAATCATGCACTGCTATCCTGGATCAGAAGCAATGAAGCAGCTGTTACAACTTGAGTTACTGTTCCCTAAACAGGGCTCCTCTGGGTACCTGGTGAGTTGTGCTGTGGTTTGGTATTGTTAAATTAGTGCGAAAGGCTTCCATAGTTTGTTAGATTTCCCCCCTACTGCAGCAAAACTGACAAGGGCCACATGTTTAGGGAGAAGCAACATTGGAGAAAAGTTGACACTGCTTGACACACTGTGTGTGTGGGGTCACCGTTAAAACAAGACACTTGGGAACCAAAGCTGGCAGGAAAATCCAGCTATTTTGTTCTTTCCTTATACACAAACTCCCACAACAGCTCTGTCTGACAAACAGCAGCCCTCTTCATCTAATTGGTTTCAAAGCACAACCCTTCATATCTGCCAAGTGAATGTAGGAAATACCAGCCCCCAAATATGAAAATAATGAATCGTCTACTAAGTGTCTTGATTATTTGACCATTTAATTTCAGAATAGCTAATCTGTCCATGCAGTTGAGAATGTTATCTACAGAGCTTAAGAATGGAAGCAGAGAAGTGAGCCAAAGTTTGAAACAACACAACCATATAGGCCCAGCTTCAGTATTGCAAACTGGCAGTCAGCAAAGTGTATGTTAGTTGGGATCCAAAAAAGAGACTTTCATAGAAAAGTCTGGCAACAAAACGCAGCATTTTCATGTGGTAGATTCACTTCTTAATATCCAAAATATAATTTAAAGCAAAGGGAACGTTGGGGTCAGATTTTGGACAGTAATATCATGCCAAAGTGATAAAAGACAAAATAATGGCCTGACGTGGAGAGTGTTTTAATATTAACTCAAAATCTTTCAATTTCCTGTTAGTAAAGTAGGAATATTAAGATCACACTCAATCACTTTGCTTGATTTTATTACAATAATAAGAGATAGCAATTGTGAAGTCTTAGCACAATTATAGTGCTGAAGGGAAGGGGTAACCACAACAATCTTTATTTATTTATTTGAATTGTCAATCGCTTACAAAATAATAGATATAAGTATAAACATGAGTAAGAATACAGAAAATAGGTACGATTAAATGGGGACAATAGGACAGGGACAGGAGGCACGATGGTGCACTTATGCACGCCCCTTGTCAAATCAATCAAGAGCAACTTAATTTAATTAGAAGATCACATAAATGCTTTTTATTCTGACATCCAGAACAATATTTTCTCACTGATTCTCCCAAATCAGCTCTCTTGGAGCTCTTCTACAATGCTTGTATTAGATTGGAGAAGTTGCAGCTGAAGCAGATTATCACCTTTTCTTCCTATCAAAGATCTTCTACAAATCTTCTTCATTGTTTTCTATGGCAATGTTTCAAGGAAGAGGAAGGCATTATCTGAGCAGCGCATCAAAAGATAGAGCTGAATTTATTTTTCAGCATTAAAATACTACTCTTCTAAAAGCTAAAATCTCAGATACCAGCTTTCTATTTTAAATGGATGTCCTTTAACCCCATTTCCCTTCAATCTAGCAGAAATCACAGGCTGGGATCATAATGGTAAGCTTTAACATTTAATTTTGCTTGGATTTTAGCTAATTACTATAACTGCACAATCTCTGAATCCACAATTTATGGCTTAATAAACAAACTGTTTTTGTGAGTGCTTTTTTTTAAGTATCTCAGCTTGCTGTGTAAACTCATCCACAGTCTCTGCCCCAAGAGAAACAGGCTTAGTAACTTTACTACTTGTATTTTCCAGGATTAAACAGACAAAAAAACCAAAAAAACTGCACAGCATATTTTACACCCCTGATCCCATGCATTCTGGATGACCCTAGCAAATAAACTATCACTGCATTTTCCTGAAGCCTGCACAGCAATACCTGTGAAAAAGCAATAACAATGTAACACTCACCCACCCCAAAGTACACAGTAATAAAGTATTTGATCTGCTTAAATGGGGTGTACAACTGCAGGAACAAGTTCTTAATTTAGTTTTCATAATTTAGTAATGTAGAGTTGTATTAGAATGAAGTGCTGATAATTACTTAAAAACTGCACATAAGCCATCCATATATACCCACTTGGTACCTCTGAGACTTTATTGTGGTCTTACATTATTAAACTTCTCCCCTTTTCCTATGACAACTGATACTTCACAACATAGTGTGCTCAGTTGGTTCATAAAAGCCCATAACTTATTCCTAGCACCATGTGTAGATATCATGAACCCAGATTTAGGCATCTCACATTCATATTTAAAAGGATAAAGCTTTTAAGAACCAAAAAAAATATTGCTTGGGGACATGATAAACTAAGAAACCTATTTTCTGCAGGTTTAAGATTGGGGGCTCTATTTAAAGCCATTAAAGATATGACAACCTTAAAATTTCTGCTGTTGCAATTTTGTTGACATGTGTTTATTAAGTTGTACAATGGTTAGCTGCAGTATTCAGGATCAAAAGATGTTTTCTTAACCAAAATCAAGGGAACAAATAAAAATTCCTTTCCTTCCCAATCAAAATTTAGAAACCAAGATTTGGAACCAGAACATTGGGGACATATGAGAGAAGATTTAGTTTGGTGCAAAATTAAAATAGTTGCAAACTATTGCTATTTTTAAAATGCGATATGTGTAAGAAAATTTTTGGTTGCTACAGCAAATGGTGGATGGAATAGATGTGACCTTCAGGGAAGCAAATTAAGACTGATCACCAAAATAAAAATTGTAACTGGAAAAAGTTGTGAAAAATGGAATAAGATCCCAAATACATGTGTTTGTTTATATATTTGCCAGGGAAGATTCTCCCAAAGGACTAGACTGACAGAATTTTAAAATAATTTTAAAATAATAGAATTAATAGCTACTAATTAAAATTAATTATCCTTTAAATAGGATAACACTCTTACAAGTTAAACAATCTACCATCTAGACTAGCATTTCTTAAACGTTTTTCTCTCATCACCCCTTCCCACTTTTAAAAATTATAGAGGACCCCAAAAGTGTCTTGGTTTGTATGGGCTAAATTTATTAATATTTAAGTATTAAAAAATAAAATTGATGCATTCATGGAATTATATATTGAATTATATATTGAATCATGTAAAAATTGAATTGAATTGAATCATGTAAAAATAACAATATTGAACCCATTAGAGGTTAACATAAATATTTGTATAACATATAAAAAATTTGTATAACATATAAAAAGTAATAATGAGAATATTTTAAATTATTGCAAACATCTTCAATATCTGGCAAATAATTTTGATTTTGCAGAATCCTGGGAGGGTCTTGGAGGCCCCTGAAGTCCTCAGACCACATTTTAAGAAACACTGATCTAGATCAATTTTCTCTCCTTCATGTACATAGAAACATACATATTCCCCACATTCTTCCAACAGAAACAGTCAAGGAGTGGGGTATCCATACCGGTGAGATGGGCTGTGACAAAAAGATCCCTTCTACTAGGACAGTAAAAGAAATAGGAGACCAAAATTGAATGATGAGATGAGAGGAAGAGATTATTGAGAGATTGTTCAACAATTACAAAACTTGTTAAAACCAGAAAGGAAACTGTACTAAACATGGTAAAACATTTTCAGACTAATATTCAATGGCATCTAGCTTTGCAGCAGAGATATCTGCAGTTTCCTGAACCTCTTGCTCTATCCTTTGTTTTCAACACCACCTTTCTATTCTTAGATGCAAAGATAACTGGATAGATATACAAAGTTCAAGACTAAACACAGAAGAAACTATATAGAAACCACATAAAAGCAGAGAATGTTGTTCTACCATAGCGGCTGATTTCTATCACAAATGCCTTGTAATGCAGTGAATATGTGCCAAATTCACTTCCAGCCCCTGCCTATTCGAGGAAATTGCCCTCAGAGTAATTCATTAGATCTGACCAATTGCCCTCAGAGCAATTCTTCAGATTTGAACAATGAACTCTTGCAAGCCACCAATATCGATTGATATTAAACGTCTCCATTCTACAGTGAGAGCAGGACAAAAGTCACAGGGAGAAGCTAAAGAGAAAAAGAGAAAAATTAGACCAAGAAATGGCATGTAGGATATGTATCTAACTCTCACCACTGAATCACATCCTCCCAATTGTCTACTGCAAGCATCTCTATATCATTTCATCAGCAGCATGTCAGCTATAGCAGTGGCATAATCAAATAAGCATTAGTATTCCATGAAATCTCATGAAAGAGAGAGGGGGATTTTACCACATTTATTAAAAAGAGCCTCTAAAAAGTAAAATGGCATGATAAAGTATTTGTAACAGCTGAAGAACTAGTAGTCTAAACTGACAGCAGTATTGTGTGCCACAGGAATGTTATACACACCAGCTTTCCCCAGCATGGTATCTGCCATATGTGTTACACGTCAAATCCTATAATTCTTAGCCTCCTCTGACGCTGTTTCATGATTTGCCAGGGAAATTCCCCTGATACCACAGCTAGGTAAGCTAAGGGATTATGAACATGAAAATCAGCAATGTACAAAGCTGATTAATGCCAACAGCTGTGGGATATGCCTATCAGTCCATAAAATATTACAGGACCAAGTATTTCCAGGCATCCTGTGACACAGCCAATTTCCTGTATGCTATTAAGAAAGAGAATGGAGAAAGGCTCTCTTCTTTGGCAGTGCAACCCCCATCCCAAACATACCTTAAGGATTTTGGGATCTGCACAACGGCTATTGCCATTGCTTGCATGCATCCAGCTGCTTTCCGATAGTGGGCAGTGTTGACGGAGGGAACATCGTTTTTCTGACACACACCAACCACACTCAAAGCGTGGATCTGCCTTCAGGCACAGCCCACAGCTTTCTCGCAGAGCTGAGCACTTGTACAAGTGAGCTGCAAAGGAAAGAATACACTCAAAGATAAATTGGTGCTGGGTGGAATTAGCTAAATAGACTATCCTCTGATGTGTAATTTTAGATGTTAGGCTTTTTTAATTTCTAGTCCAACCCTCTACCCAATGTAGGAGTTCCCAAAGCATCTTGGACAAATGGTTGTCCAATATTTTCTTGAAAACCTCCAATGATGGGGCATCCACAACTCTGGGAGGCAGCTTAATAGTTCGGACTGTCAGGAAATGTCTCATTATTTCCAGGTTGTATCTCTCTCAGATGAACTTCCAGCCACTGATTCTTGTCTTGCCCTCGGGTCTTAGGGTGAATAAATTAACACCCTCTTCTCTGGGGCAGCCCTTCAAGTACTGGAAGACTGCTATCCTGTCGCCCCTCATATTCTTCTTCATTAAACAAAACATAAGCTAGTGCCTTTAGCCATTCCTCATAGGATTCAGCCTCTAAAACACTTATCATATTTGTTGCTCTTCTTTCCACTCTTGCTAGGGCCTCAGCATCTTTTTTATATTGTTGTGACCAAAACTGAACACAGTATTCCAAATGTGACCTCATCAGTGTAATATAGAGTGATGCAATTGCTTCCCTCGATCTTGATACTATCCCTCTGTCAATGCAACCCAGGTCAATACTGACTTTTTTGTCAGCTGCAGCGCATTACTGAGTCATACTTACATACACCAGGGCACCTACCGTGTTTCTCATATAATAAGGCCGGGTCTTATTTTTTTTTTGAGCCCCCCAAAAATGGCTAGGCCGTCTTTTCGGGGGTGACTTAATTCCCCCCCCTTGCATCTTAGGGCAGGCAGGCGGCAACGGCTTGGATGTTGACCTCGGCATTGGTGGGGCACTTCGTATCGGGGTCAACGCAGGCAGCACCATATCCGGGTGTGCAACAAAAGTACTTCCTAACAGCAAGCAAGCATTTCCCCCCCATTTCGCATGGTTTAATATAGGCCTTAATTTGGGGGGGGGGAGGGGCTTAATTTCATTTCATGCCTATAAAACATGCTGGGACTTCCTATTGGGGGAGGCCGTATTGTTCGAGAAACAGGGTAGACTCATCTCATAGGCACTATTGTTGCATCAGACAAGGTCTATCTTGTACTGGTGGATATGGCTTTTCCTGCCTAAATGCAGGACTTTACTCGTCTCACGACTGAACTGCATCTTGTTGAATGGAGCCCAATGTGGAAGTCTGTTAAGATCCTTCTGAACTTGAAACTATCTTCCAAAGTGTTAGCAATAGGCCCAGCTTTGTGTCATCTGCAAATTTCTAATAAGCGCCCCTTCAATCCTCTCACTTAGGACATTTATGAACGTTCTAGGTTGCATTAGTAAAATAACTTTATCATGGTTTCCTGCTACACAGGATGTGCATCTAGTTAACTGAATAACTTGTAGCATTTCCAGAGACACATTAGACACAGAGAGAAATAACGCAGAGAAAAAGTTACAAAACCAGATCTTTCCAGACTTTCTCCTTCAACTTTGATATGCATAAGGAACAATGTTTGCTCATATGGGCAAAATGTTTTGAATTTTCACTTGTGGCAGTTTGTTAATTCCAATATGGTCCCCAGCTGTCTGGTTCAAAGATTAAGTGTGGAGACAGTTTATTATGGAGAAAATTTTGTTATAACTAAACGTGTTTCTACATTCCCTATTCCAGCTTACCTTGGATATTTTGGGGATTGTCAATTATGAAGTTTCCATTCCACACAACAGAAAGGTTCACTGGGAGGTCACTGATGTCATTCCCTTCATAGAAATACTGCCAAAGAAGACACAACAGGGCACAGAGTTTATTAGTCAGCCTTACACAAAAATAGCAGATACAAACCAAGAGGCAAATCAAAGGCCAGTGGAGGACATCACATTATTCTCACCAATTTCAAGTACACCTACCTGGATCTTCCTCTGCCAATTATGACCATGTCAAAAGCAAGACAGATTGGTCAGACATGAAGACTCTCCAATAACCAACAACAACAACAATAACAACACAATTTTCTTTATATTTTTTCCTAGCTGCTTCTTTATAGTTCTGTCAGACAGAATGCACTTTGAGGGAAAGTCCAGAGTACCAATCCAAAGCATCTAAATTATTTTCCACTTTAATTTTCCCTTTGCCTACTTATGCAATGTTAAGACAGACTAGTTCTGGATTTGTAATATTCTTTACCAGTAGAGAATGATTGGTAGGAATTGAGCAAATCTACTGGATGTCAAATCATAAGCATAATTTATTTGAGCTGTTGAGGCTAATGGTCCTTGGCACAAAATTGTATCACGTAATAAACTGGGTTTGCTGTTAAAATACAATCTGAGAGTACACAAAACCTAAAATAAAGTGACTTTCAGACCTCTTCAAGTAATATACTAGCTATAAATTGGTGTTGTCACTGTATAAATTAATAAAAAGTACAAATTGAAGTTATTTTATTCTAATCATCATTCAGCGTCCAGGAATGTTGTGCACTTGTTCCACAAAATAAGACAACAGAGCAAGGAGCCTTTGTCTGAATAAATATTTAAACTGAGGAAGAATAGAATTTAAAACCTCCCAGCAACAGGAGACATTACTTTTGTCTCTGTTGAGCTGGCAAATACTGTTCGGCTTCTACAGCAGGAAAGAAAATGAAAATGCAACGGACTTAAGGAAGACTATCTCTCTAAGAAGGATGATTACAGAGGCACACAAATTGGGAATTGTATTTCCATCCTACATCACCATGAGCCTTCACCCCATCTATCTCCGTGAAAAATAAACCTAACCCAATCTCTTGCTTCAGACAAACTTCTTGCAGCCTCATCAATATTCCCTTCACAGTGCCTGCGTGCATGTGGAGGCTTAATCGATAGGAAGACAGGAAGGCAGTCGGAACCTTCCCTGACAGCTAATGACCTCCTTTGGCGAGAGATTCTCTGCTTTTCTCCGGAGAAAATGACAGGCGTGTCAGGAGAGATTAAATGAAAGATTCATAGCTTGCTGGAGTTTGTTAGGGAACTATGGATACTACAGGTGCAGCTTTCCCCCTCCTCTGGATAACATCCCCTCCCTGCTCAGCCACAGCATAGCCACCAAGGCGTAAGACAGCCAAAAAGATGAAGAAGGCAACAGGTATCTTCCCCAACCCATGTATCCTTCCAAGTCTGGCTTTTCTCTTCCTCCTCCTCCTCCTTCTCTTCAACTTCCATGGAAATCCAATTTGTCTTAATTTGTATTTTCTTTTTTAAAAATTGCTATAAAGCATACAGAATACAAGAGAACTGTTATGTATATAGAATGAGAAACAAAACACACCACAGAAACACTCACTTCTTGAAAGCTGTGTCAAATAATGTGACCAATCTTTTTTTTTTTTTTGGCACAGAGAGCTAGCAACAACACAGAATCACAATATGAAGTATATACTAAAGAAATATTACAAGCAAGGGTGGGATTCAAATTTCTTAACAACCAGTTCTGTGGGCGTGGCCTAATTTGTGGGTGTGGCTTGGTGGTCATGTTACTGGCTGGGCATGGCTTGCTGACTGGCATGGCTAGGTGGTCATATGACTGGGGTGGGCGTAGCTAGGTGGCCATGTGACTGGCAAACCAAATATGAGTGGTCCTCACTTAACGGCCAATTGCTTAGCAAGTGTTCTAATTTATGACTGACCTCCCCAGAGGTACTTGACCTGTTTTTGGTGTTTTGACAGCCATACATACACACACACACACTTATGACCAGTTACAACATGCCACACAGTCTTGTGACTGAGGTTTTCTATGTTTTTTGCCAGTTTCCAATAATTCCTTCTGGTTTCTGGTTAAAAATGCCCATTGGGGAAAATGGACCTGTTTAACAACCAGTGTTTGCTTAATGACCACAAGGTTCACTTAACAATCATGGTGTTTGCCTAACCCAGGGGTCTGCAACCTTAACCACTCAAAGAGCCATTTTTCTATTTTCTTTTAAAAAGGTATCTCTGTCTGTCTTTCTTTATTTCTCCCTCTCTTTCTCATCTCTCTCGCTCTTTCTCATCTCTTTCTCCCTCTCTGTTTTTCATTTCTCTTTCTCTCTCTCATCTATAACTGTTAAGATTGGAAACTGTATTTTTAAATCTTATTTCTTTGCAGTTTTTTTCACACACATTTGTGTATATGTATCCAATACTTTCTTCCTTTCCGCTATGTATTCAAAATGGGCAATGATTGTGTGTGTGTGTGTTTGTGTAGCATGTGTATATGTGTGTTATGTATGTGTATGGATATGGATATATATTTCACTTTTAATGTGTGCCAGTGTACTTACAGTAAAAAATGACAATAAAAGTTATCTTATCCTATCTTCCTTCTTTCCTTCCCAACCCCATTCCTCCCCACACTCCATTTTGTGTTGGCTTCCCAGCCAAGTACTTACCAGGTCTGATCCTGTTTAGCTTTCTAAAATCAGCCTACTGAAATAAATACCAAACTAAACTGCCCAATAATTTACCTACCATTACTATCTTGCACCTGATTTCAATGTAAACAGCCAATCTGTAGTATTACTAAATTTTGCTAGGCATCTGATGCATGTTATTCTTTCTTCTTTGATAATCTATTCGAGAGGTCCCCAAACTTGGCAACTTTAAGACTTGTGGACTTCAACTCCCAGAATTCTACAGCCAGCTATGTCCACAAGTCTTAAAGTTGTCAAGTTTGGAGAGCCCTGACATAGATCAACCACATGTACATGAAGTACATACAAAGCACTTCCACACCATACAAATGGGTTACAAAGACAAAATGATGAAAAATGGGAGACACTGATTACAGCATAGACAAAAAAAACCCATATATAATTATTGGGTAGGGGATGATAGCAAAAAAGTAACATAAACCACTCATGGTTAAAACGTGCTTGCTTGACTCCCAGCACTTTAGGATTGTGCAGTCCATCGGCAGCCGTGCAAAGCCACCCAGTCCCTTAGAATTATCCATGCACTCTAGACACACGTACACACAGGCCCCTTATTCTTGCACGAAGGTGTCGAGCTCCGAGGGAGGTTCACCTGTTCGCACCCCAAGTAGACTGAAAGCCCCGCAGGGGATGGGGGATGCAGCAGCAGCAAGGCGGAGATGGCGATTCCGGGTGGTATAGGATCGTTTCCCCCCCCCCCCCAGCCAGCCATGCGGCTGCACACGTGGTGCATCAGGGCTTCCAGGCTCTGCTCCCCACAGACCTGTCAGCTGTCCTGGAGTTGATTAAGGGGCGCCTTGCTGACACGAGCCTCTAGCTGGGGAGAGGAGAGAAAGTTCACTCTTCTCTCCTCTCACTGGCAAGCACAGCCCCCCGCGGTGGCTATTCTGTGGCCAGCAGGACCAGGAGAACGCTCTCTCCTCTCCCTGGCAAGCATGGCCCCAGTCCCACAGTGGTTTTCCGTGGCCAGCGGGGGCAGAACGCTCTCTCCTCTCCTTGGCAAGCACAGCCCCAGCCCTTTGGCGGCTTTTCCATGGCCAGCGGGGGCAGGAGAACGCTCTCTCCTCTCCCTGGCAAGCACAGCCCCAGCCCTTCAGCGGCTTTTCCGTGGCCAGCGGGGGCAGGAGAACGCTCTCCCTGGCAAGCATGGCCCCAGCCCCGCAGCGGCTTTTCCGTGCCCAGTGGGGGTAGGAGAACACTCTCTACTCTCCCTAGCAAGCACAGCCCCAGCCCTGCGGTGGCTTTTCTGTGGCCAGTGGGGGTAGGAGAACACTCTTCTCCTCTCCCTGGCAAGCACGGCCCCAGCCCTGCGGTGGCTTTTCTGTGGCCAGTGGGGGCAGGAGAACGCTCTCTCCTCTCCCTGGCAAGCACAGCCCCAGCCCAGCAGCGGCTTTTCCGTGGCCAGCAGGGGCAGGAGAATGCTCTCTCCTCTCCTTGGCAAGCATGGTCCAGCCCAGGCAAGCCCAGGGATTGGGCGGGATGTTGGGAGACAGCGCAGCAGCCTAGGCTAACCCAGGTGTCAACTTGACCGGGGCTTGCTTGTAGGCTCACTCACCCAGGGAGATCAGGGCCGCGGTGAAAAGTAGGCAGCAATGGCGGGCAAAGGCAGGTTAGCAATGGCAGGTGAGATTAGGAATAACTGGATGGGGCAGGGAGCGGGCAGGCAGGAAGGGGCGGGGCCAACCAGGGGCGCAATTTACTAGTTATCCGACTGCTCAGACTCAAAACATCCAGTTCTAAAACTGCTGAAATTTAAGATCTTGGCATTTGTAAGATATTGTTGAAGAGAATGGAGGAGTCAAACAGGGAATTAGTCTGGAATCCCTATGTGGGAATAAGAGAGGAAAGTCTGACTACCTTTGAATGCCATTGAACCTTATCTAGCCTGATCCAGGTGCAAACTGCCAATTAGAGAAGATTCCTGTGTAATAGGCTGGAGCAATAAAAGAGTTAATTGAAGTCTTCACACGTGGATCTGATTGTTTGTGCCTGACAGATATTTGCTCATTAAATGAGCTTCTGCAATGGCGCCCGAGCCTGAAAAAATTATCAACCCCTGATCTATAATATTAATGATATAAAATATTCTTTAATTAAATTAAGCTGTTTAAAACCTGCTTTACCTATTTAGCATTCTTCACATATATATGCCCAGAGTCGTTGAATAATATATCTGCAGAGCACCAATTTGAGGAAGGCTTGCCTAAAGTGCAGAATATGATATTAAATGATTTTAAATTTAAAACATTTAAAATATTACATTCAACCATTAAGGCATTTCAACCAAGTGTCCTATCTGGCGGTTGATGTATTTATCTGAACT